TATTGGTCTTGCCTGGCTTGTAATGCACGACGAAGTTGTACTCAGAGAAGAATGAGAGCCATCGTGCCATCCGTTGGGACAGGTGTGGGCTCTTCATCGCTGTGCGCAGCGATGCATGATCGGTGTACAAAGCAAACGTACTTTCACCAAGGAGATGCACGCGAAACTTGATGAGTGCATAGCGCATCGCTAATAACTCCTTGTCGTGAACCGGATAGTTCTTCTCAGCTGGCTTCATCTGTCGCGACTGATAACTCACGACTCGTTCACGGCCCTCATCATCAAATTGCATGAGGGCACAACCGATTGCAAAATCACTGGCGTCGCAAACCACGTGGAACGGCTTGGAATCGTCTGGTAGGACCAGGACTGGCGCTGACGCTAGGCTCTTCTTTACTGCTTCGAAGGCTGCTTGGTGCTCGGGACGCCACAACCACGTGGCGTCTTTCTTCAAGAGTGACGACAAAGGCTGGATAGAACCAGCATAATCCTTTGTATACTTGTGCAAATAATTAGCCAAGCCGAGCCACTGGCGCAACTCCGTAGGGTTCTTGGGCGTGGGCCAAGAACAGATGGACGACACCTTCTCTGGATCAGCTCGAACTCCCGATTTACTCACATAGCAACCTAACACCGGAATCTCCGGTGCACAAAAGACACACTTCTTGAGATTCGCGTACAACTTGTTGTCCCGCATAACTTGAAACACTTGCTTCAGGTGTTGAAGGTGAACTTGGACATCGTTGAGGTTGCCCTCGGCGCGACTATGGACGAAGATATCGTCAAAATAACTTGGGGCAAAGTTCCGAAGAGGTCTCAACACTTGAGACACCATGCGATTGAAAGTGGCCGGAGCGTTCTTCAACCCTTGTGGCATTACCAGCCACTCCCATAACATGCCACTCGGGGTGCTCACCGCGGTGAGTGGGATATCGCTCGGGCGCATCAAAATCTGGTAAAAGCCATCGGTCAAGTCGATGGCACTGAAGATGACACTACCTGACATGGAATTCAGCACCATGTCCTTCCTGGGAATTGGCGTTTGCGCAGGAATAGTGGCATCATTCAACTTATTGAACGCATGCACTATCCGCCAGCCTCCCGTAGCCTTCTTCACGCAGAAGGTTGGACTCGAATGTGGTGAGATACTCTCCCGCACATGACCCGCTTTGCGGCGACCTTCAAAGAATGCGTCAATAGCTTCGACTTGATCTCGAGGCAACGGCCACTGCCGTGTCACACAATACTTCGACCCTGGCACGAGATCAATCTCGTGCCGAACACCGCGGTCCGCAGGAAGTTCAGCCGGGATCTTGTCCGGGAACACGTCTGCATACTCACGAGCAATGTCGTAGACGGGGTTACCAGACTCTCGCAGGGCCTCCCATGACTGTGATGCAAACCTTTCTTCACGCGCAGACTTCGGCTCAGCGCTTTGAGGACGCGCCATATGCTCCTCGTTTGCCACGGTAACCACCTCGTTGGTGATTAGACACACTTGTTCCACAGTGCCTCCCTTAAGGTCACGTAGGAAATGCTTCCAGGAAAGCCCTGGAAGACTTGTAATGGAAGACGCATTACGAGGAGGACTCTCGACCTCGATATATTGGCGCCTTTGTGGACTCCCTTCCACGTACACGATAGCGTGGACACATTCCAACGCTAAATTCTCGGTGCTGTTGTCCCCATCGTGCTTCGAGTCACTACTCGAAGCTGGCGAACCGCAGTCAGGTGATAAACCATCACCCCCCTCTAGGCACTGGATGTCGTCATCCAAGATGCCGGAAACACTGGACGGGAGTACCCCAAACTCGACCGTCGACACTTGATGCGGGAGCTCCTGCTCGGCCGCCGTAAACCCGCGTGGGAGCCCCTGCTCAACCACAGTATGCCCATGTGGGAACCTCGGTTCGACCACAGTGGGTGATGATGGGAACCCCGGTTCGACCATCATGCTCTCGCGTGGGGACTCCTGTCCGTCCACGTTGTACTCGTGTGGGAGCCCCTGCTCGACCACAATATGCCCATGTGGGAACCTCGGTTCGACCACAGTGGGTGATGATGGGAACCCCGGTTCGACCATCATGCTCTCGCGTGAGGACTCCTGTCCGTCCACGTCACACTCGCTGGCGAGCTCTTGCTCGTCGCCACAATGCCCTTGTGGGAGCCCCTGCTCGACCACAATAGGTGCAGATGGGAACCCCGGTTCAACCACTGCATCCACGTGCGGGAACCCCTGTTCAACCGCATTAATGACGCGCGGGAACTCCTGTTCGACCGCGTCGTCCTCGTCGTCCTCTTCGCTCTGTAGCGAGGAGTCACTGTCACTTGTGTCCCGAAGAACAGCACAAGCAGTGCAGAGAGGGCCATCGCTCGCTCTGTGCACCGCCAACGTCGTGGAATCGCGATCCACGACTGTGACGTTTGGCCAGTCACTTGGAGATACCAAGAGATGGGTAAACACTTCACTGACATCGAACTTGCGTCGACGTCTCACTGATCTGGCTAACCAGTCGATCTGGGGCTTATAACGTGCCAACCATGGCATGCCCAGTATGCAATCGAATGCATAATTCATCGCGATCACCAAGAAATCATCATTACTGCGAAAGCCATCAAACGTATACGGCAACGACACTTCGCGCCGCGATACGCGGTGTGGTTTCCCGTCAGCCAACTTGACGACGACTTGGCCAGGTCCCTCACGGACCTGAATGCTGGGGGGCAGCATCGACAAACAAGATTCACGAAAGAAATTGTTTGTTGCTCCTGAGTCCAGGAGTGCTCGCAGAGGTCGCCGGACGCCGGCGACATGTAAACTGACAATAATCAGACGTGAATCATCACTCGTAGTGGTGGCATTTAACCGTGCGCGTAGCGCAGGAGGACTGGAAGGTTGGGCTGCCACCGGGGGACCCGGACCTCCGTTCCAACCAGTAGGGCGCCCTGCACCTACTGGTCCCGACCGTTTTTTGGACGTGCGGCCGGTACAGCACCCTCATGATGGGCGTCCACTACTTGCACCGATAATGGGGCTGGCGCACGGCACTCTGCCGCGCGATGTCCTGGATTGAGACAACGAAAGCAAACCATTGGACGCCCGGTGCGAGCGTCACCTTTATGATGAAAGACACGTCGCCGGTCACCCGACGCCTGTAACGGGGCTAGAACGTACCGTCACTAGCTTACACGTGCGCTTGAGGAAGACTCAAGCCCGAGTATTAGGTATTAAGTAAATTTAACTCTGATTTTTATTTTGGTTTTAATTCGTACTAATTACGAAGATTTTAGTCGTAATAAATACGACAGTGTTCCCGCCTTTCGGAAACCACACAATTTCAGGTTGATTTATCATTGGTCCATATTGGGGACTTTAGGCCCAATAATAAACCAATAATAAATTACCACGCTGTGCCCGCTATTCGGGCCCAGCACCTGCCTACATATGTAATTGTTTATTTGTGTTAATGCTATATGTGTAATGTAGCCCATTACACCTGGGGTCCACCTGTCACCTGGGGTCCACCTGTCACCTGGGGTCACCTGTCACCTGGGGTCCACCTGTCACATGGGGCCCACCAGTCGCCTGGGGTCCACCGGTCACCTGGGTCCACCTGTCACATGGGGCCCACCAGTCGCCTGGGGTCCACCGGTCACTATGAGGCATCCTGGTCCACCTTGGATCATGGTTCACCTTGAGTCCTGGTCCACCTTGGGAACGTGGATGCCCTTGAGGCACTGGACTTTCAGGTTATTTGGACTTGTGCCAGCTCTGCACTGTAGGGCAACCTGGAACTTCTCCAAGTGACTTCAGTACCCTGAACCTTCGGTACCCCTGTCCCCGGTGACTGGTACCCCTGTCCCTGGCGACTGAAAACCCCGCCCCCGGTAACTGGCACCCTGTCCCCGGTAACTGGCACCCTGTCCCCGGTAACTGGAAACCCTGTCCTTGGCGACTGGAAACCCTGACCCCGGTAACTGGTATCCCTGTCCCTGGTGACTCTGGGCTGAACCTTGGGACTTTGCGAGACGCAATCATAGTCATTCCCTCGAGGGAGTGACCTGGATTTTTGTGCTCTTTATTACGATGTCCTCTGGGGCCCCGATTCTCCTGGCACTTCTCCACATTACAGTGATGGCCTGTTATATGCATCAGCTGTCATTCTGTGATCCCTTGAGAATCTATGTACAGATCTTAAGCTGATGATACTTCACGAGTGTCATGATGCGCCATCTAATTGACATCTGGGCCAAGAAAAGTCTTACGAGTGTCAGATGACTTTTGGTGTCCCCACCTATACCGGTGAGTGGCCAACTGTATTCTCTATTGCGAAAATGTATCGGCGGCTGCGATGACGACGATTAAGCAACCTTTTGCACAATACGAAGTTCTTTCCCGGTTTTTCTGCCTCTAGGATAACCGATGAAATTTTTGAAATCGGTCGTCCAGCAAACTTAGAGGCATTCGTCGTGTATGAAAATAGTAGGTCGACGCCAGACGATGAGTGCAGTTTCTTCATAGGTCGTGGTAGCTTCAACTTCGCTATATTCGGGTTGATCATCTTAATTATCTCAAACGGTCTGGTACCAGTGAGTACGGCCTCTCGTAGAAGCATGAAACTCCAAAACAGAATAGTTGGAGCTATCCGGACTGGTTGGCACCCAGAACCTCCGACATAACGCCCGTCCGTGGCACGATAGCCATGACCGGTCAGGGATGTGTAGGCCCTCGCCAAAGAGGACAGTACTAGGTCATTAGAAATAGTAAATGAACCGGCTGTACCTAAGAAAAAAAGTAATGCTTAGGAACAGCCCTCGAGTGGCGTTCTTCTAGGCTCGAAAGCCTAATCACTCGCAAGCGAGAACCCTTTTGATACATAAATAGAATCACATGGGCATAATATGACACTATCCAGCCACTTCAACTTGAAGATGACATTCATTCTTGGTTGCAAGTTCTGGGTCTTGTTGCAATTTAAATTTAATCTGATTCCAAACATATGGAGGACGCCAAGAGTGATCTAGATCAAGGCGGGGCTCTCCTCGCGGCCATAGACACCACCACAGACTCCTTCGAGCCTCCCGCCGTCGGCAACACGCAAAGTGACCTGCGTCATGCTTCAATAAGCTCTGAAACCTCCTCGTCGCCTGAACAGCAGCCAAATTGTGACGCGACGGAGACTCCAGGACTACATGACTCTGTAGATATCTCAAGCTCACCAAATTTGCAGCGATCTTCATCGTCTAGTGGTGTGACTTCTTCGCATAGTGTAACTTTTGGTATCGGTGCGAGTACAGGCCGTCGAAATAGAAGTCGAAGCGGTGGAGACGATGGCGATGGCGCATCCTCGGAGCTGGTTGTGCAGCTCCAGAAACTCTGCAAACGAAAGAGACAGCGCTCTGAGGAGCGCGCCTTTGTTCGAGATGTGGAGCATATGCTGACATTGCTAAGAGCTCAGACACCTACATCAGTTGATACTGACATGACGTCGGCCACGTTTCCAGGTCCAGCGATGTCGCTGAAGATGCTGGGAAGTGTTCAGGAGGAAGATGGCACAGCTGCAGAAAAAGGATGCAGCTTTGTAACTAGCAAGAGGAGCGGACTGCACATGCCCCGCGTGACATTAACACTCGCAGAAATTGATGCTATGCTGGATTGTATTGCGGACTTGTTTGATCATAGAAACGCTGGTGTGCGTGCACTGGCCTTTGAAGTGGTGCAGCTTTGTTTGCTATGTTTTGGGGAGAGATTGACGCCGGAACTCAGGAGAAAAATCTATCTTCGACTAGAAACACACCCACCTGGGGACTTTTTACTGCGTCAGACAGCTCTCCGTGCACTGACACAAGACGGAAGGCATTTGAAACCTTTCCACGTGGAACTGGGCTGGTTTCTATTGCGTCTCCTGGAACAGTCAGACGCCCAACGGGACCTGCTTGGGCTCATTCAGAGTATTTTGCGTCGCAGTCCTCGAGCACTTGATCGTGACAAAGTGATCGCGATTGTGTCGATTATAAGCGTACGATGTGATATGGCGTGGAGTCGTGGTGATTTGAATGCGTGCCACAATTTTGTTGCCTTTTTTCATACTTTAGCAACGCACAACTCTGCGTATGCTGCAAGCACACCGGCGTGTTTGCGGTCACTGTGCTGTCTTGTCAATGCTGATGGTCATGGAACGTGGTCAGTAATGAAGCTTTTACTTCATGGCAGTTCAGGCTTCCTTGTACTGCGGGGCTTATTACAGGTGCTGGAGCACCCGACTGGAGTTGATTCGCCATGGGTACTTCGAGGTGCCGTGTTTTTTGTGGGCATGTCTTGTTGGGGCTCTCAGCGAGTGGCTAAGTTTGATGATATCGCATGGGCTCCCATATTGCTTGCTCTTGAGCGAGCTTTGCAGTGTTGTCGGGGAGTGGTTATATTTGAGGTAATTTTGTCCATACAACGCCTTATTAAAAAGTTTGGTGCAACTCGTCTACCAGCCAGTAGTGGACAAAGTGCGGTAAGCTCAATCACTGTGTCATCCAAACCGGCATTGTATTCAGATGACAGCAGCCATGACGCAAGGGAGACTAGCTTGCCTAGCATTTCGAGCTTCAGTGGCACGTCATCCGCAAGTGAAAATAGAGATAAACGGTGTCTAGTCATGGAGTGGGACATTATATTGCGTATGCTACACGCGCTGAGACCGTGGGTATCTATGACTCATGAAAATGCGATTGAGAAATTTCCGCAGGGAACTGTTCGACCGGATGGACGATCACCGGAATCAGAGACGAATCGTCCTGCGGCTATGCACCCGACCAATGGTCTGTCCAATCAATCGCAATACCAAGTGTCGGTATCAATTCAACAAACTAGAATTCCTCGCGAACTGTTAGACACTCTGCAAACTGTGGAAGACCTTGTGGAACAGCACCGGTTTGCTGGCGATGTAGAAGAGTTTCTTAAGATTCTCGAGGATTATTTACCACATCTCAGTGAAAAATCAATGCTTTTTCTGTTGCGGCAACGTGCTGAGGCTTCTCATCCAGGATATCATCTTGGTTGGCTGGCTAGTTTGTCGAGCGCAATGCGTACGTTTTTCTCTGGCATTAGTTATGATGGCAATTCGCTTGCTGTGCCTAGTACAGTGCGCCTGGAGGCACTTGAGGTATTGCGAGCCAATTTATGGACAAGTCGAAATGTCTGCGAGGATCGTGTAATCGAAGAAATAGTGATTCCGACACTTGGTCGAGTATATGAAGATCCAGATGCGGAGGTGCGGCGTCGGGCACTCGACTTTATCATAGAGGTGACACGTCAATTGGAAAGTGCCAAGTTTGACTCACTTCTAGACATCCTTGCCAACGCAATGACGCTTTCAACTAACGAAGACGCTCAGCTCGTAGCAGCTTCAGGTATCGCTTCGCTCTTTTCGTCAGCATTTGACCATTTGCCACCGGCCCGCGCTGTTCGTATGTATGATCTTCTTGCCACGACAGTGGAAGTCCACCGAAGCCGTGCTGTTCGGCATATCGCGCTATCGTGTTTGCTGTCTGTATGTGAAGCTCGCGCAAATGATGGTCGACTGCAATGGAAGGAACAGCAACAAATTCGCACATCGCGGTTTCTGTTCGTATCTCGACGTGCTGCACGTGTTAATGCGCCTGGCGTCCAATTGACAGCAGCTTGCGTGCCAGTCGCGCGTGCGTTACGTGCTCTACTCACGCTATTAAGTGCCGAGCCTGATGCTGAGCTTTTCCGTATGGCAGTAAAAGGCATCAAAACGATGCTGGAAAATCGTGCAATCCTGGAAGATGTAGATGTGAGCGAAGTGTCGACGAAGGTCGTGGCAAGTATTGATTACCGGGCTTTTGGTCGAGCAGCCGTTGCTGACGAAGTCGACAGACTGCTTAACGAACGAATGGATGAACAAAAGTCAGCCACTGGTGATAAGATAGGTCGAAATCAAAAGGCACGCGTGGATTGTAAAAGAGGCACTGGCCGTTTGGTTTCGCTGACAGATGCAGAACTCATCCGTTCGATTCATGCATCAACGAGACTCAATAATATTGGTGGGAGTATGATGTCGTTCTGCGCGAGTGTGCGATCAACAGCAATGCTGCTCGCCAAAACGCAGTTTCTAAACATGGGAACAGAATTACTGCAGCTTCTAGTTAGCTACGAGTCTGAGTTGCACGATAATGCGCTACAAGAGCTTACGCGATGCCTAGTAGGTGCGATGACATTACCCCTGGCTGTGGCCGAGAAAGACCTGTTCATGGGCGGTTCAGCTACAGATGATTCGGCCTTATCTTCGTCATCGTCAGCCCCAGACATGCTGTACCGTCACGATGAGGCGAAATCTCAACTTGGTATCACTGACCCGTACGCTTCTGGCACACACCTCGGTTTTACCTCCCGTGTGTTTTCGCGTTTTCAAACTTCCGCTTCCCATGGTAATCTCTTTCATGCGCTATCGGGGTCCATGAGCAAATCGGCACTAGGATCGTCGTCGAAAAATTCACATACCGTAGGCTACCGGCCAACTCGAAACGACCGAGCACGATTGCAAGGTTTCTTGCGTCAACTTTTCGATTCCGAATTCAGACTGTTACACACAACGACAACGGCCTTGAGTTTGCTAGCTTTACTCACTCCGACCTCAGTACTAGGCCAGCTTGATCAAGTGCTCCATAACTTGCGTGGGTGTGTTACTACAGTAGACGGTGACTTTCGATCCGACGCTTTTGTAGCGATTCTGGAATTATTGGGAACCATTACGCCTTTGTTACATACAGAAGACGAAGAAGGCAGAGGCCATTCTGCCCGCAAGGCGATTATTGAAGCGCTACTACTAGGCTTCGAATACACAAAGTCAAAGCAGCATGCATACCTTGCTTTTCGGCTTCTGTGTCAGGTGATTTACCAGAGCAACTTGGAGGAGCGTGTATACCTTGCAGCCTTGGCTATGCCGACCTTACAACAGTGTACACATCGTGCCAACAGCCTTTTAGTAGAAGCTGCTATTGATTTCTTGATGTGTTATGCGTACTCCCAGTCGGCGTTGGACCCGTCAGCTCTCTGTACACGACAGGAGCCTGATAGTGAAACGATAAGTATGCGTGGTGATTCTCGCCACACAAAGTCAAGGTCCTGGGTGTACAGAAGGTCTTTGATGACAATCACGACAAATTCACACGGGGATGCATTACTAGTAATCCGGAGAGCAAATTGCACAAGCAAATGGAAGCTCGATGCATGCCATGGTCTGTCAACTTCCTCACGCTCTCAGATTGATATGCCTAGCGGAGGCGACAATGGTCTCACATATTTTGGCCGACAACGAAAGCAACCAGTGGAGATGTTCAGAGCAAGAGGTGCTGTCGCTCCGGAACGGCCAGTTCTCCCGGTCGAGCTCAGGCCATCTAATTCGAGTCAATTACGTACACGCCTTGGAAATGATTCTCAAACGTTAGCTAGCTCAGATGATAAAGCAATTAACACCTCTCACAGTGAATGTGCTGTAGAGGGTTACGGAATAGCAATGCAGAATGAGGATCGTGACGAAGTGCAAGTGGATTCTTCGATGCAAAATTCGACATTTCAGCAGTCAGCCACGGCCACAGCATTACCACCGCTACCAGCGTATGACGGTATTGGCGGGTCGCCATCATACTATTGTGAAAATGCACAAAGTAGGCATGACAAACATTCTTCGGTCCGTATATACTAGCTGCACTAATGACGCTTGTGATGACTCTATATGTAGTTTGCCGTCAGACACAGCGAAATATGGAACGCCTGACACCCAGAAACAAGAAGGGGCATTTCAGGCAAGCGGAAGGAGATAATGGACAAGAGGATTCTCCGGGAAAATCCGTCATTTCTGCTATTCAAGAAGATGTCGAAGAATATGATGACACGGAAAGTCAGCAAGGACTTTTGCAGAACAATGAATTCAGAAGTGAGATGGATATTTTTTCACTGGATGATAGTCTCAGCTCTGCTCCGAGAATACCGGCGAAAACACCGAGGACGCTGCACTTTGCTGAAAGCAGTTCCTCTACCACGCTCGACCCAGATGCAGTCGGAAGCATGTGTGGAATACCAACACTACTTGATGAAGAGCAGTATGACCCAAAGTATTTGATGATGCAACTCTTTGATCTCACTGTTGAAAACCGTCCACAGTTACTTAGTGATGGGCCAGCCCTAAAACTGGCGCTCAGCGTCCTGGATCGTACACCAGAGTTTGAGACGCATAAGATTGGCTTGCTGTACGTCAGGGACGAAAAACAATCCTCCGAAGCAACAATTCTGGGGAATACCGGTGGCTCGCTGCGTTACTTGCGATTCTTACGTCGTCTCGGTACATTCACTAAATTGAAGGGGCTCTCTGGATATACAGGAGGTCTTGACACTGTGAACAATAGCGATGGCAAATTCGGTCTCATCTATAAAGATTCATGGGCACAGGTAAGCTTTTGCATGATTCCTTCCGACCTGCGCACACGAATTCTAACACCTCTTGCTGATTTACACGCAGATTACGTTTCACGTTGCGACGATGATGGTTCCCGGAAATAATCGTTCTGATGTCAATCTTACTCCAGACATTTTTACGTCGACGAAGAAGAAGCGCCATATTGGTAATGATTTTGTACACGTGGTGTTCAAGGTACGAGAAATTGCCCAGCCAAAAGTAGGCTCCAATCGGCTGAATATTTATGCCATGAATTTTTGTTATGACCAGGAATGCGACGAGGACTACGATGTACAAACACTATCTGGGCAGTTTAATAACGTGCACATTGTTATCCAACCACTTGATGACAATGAGTACCGCACGGAGGTGCACGTCAAACAAGGAATTCCACCATTCGGACCGCTTTATGGCAGACAAATCGTCTCCAGCTCCATTATCTCGGAAAGCGTGCGGATCACGTGTCTCAATGCTAATCTGGCATGCCAGGTTTTCCATCAGGACCTAGTGGGGTTTGCCTTGAACAGTGAGGAGCGATTGAAACAAATCAAGCAATTGAGCCTCCGGCTTGCAACTTCGGACGAATGGAAACTTTACTGAACGACGATTGTGTTGCTGGAAGCTTGAGTATGACGGGCATAAAGCGAAGTAACTACGGCTACTATGAGCAACGGTATCGCAAGTGAAGCTTCCGACCTAATATAGAAAGTTAATGCTCACACCTCTTCACAAGGGCTGGAAACTGTTTTGTGTCACTACCTGTCTACAAGCGGGGCATCAACTTCGTTGACGATGCAGAGACATGCGCTAACGGCCAACAAGAGGTCATTTTGGGCAAGGTGGTGAAAGCCGGCGTCTAGCGCAAGCTCTGGTCGCTTGAGGTTCTCGTGATCATAACCAAGCTCGTCTTAAATACAATAGCGACCCAACGACGTAAACAATAGTCGCAAGTACCTTGTCGAAGGCATAAAGGTGTCGCTGAAGCATTTCGCGCTAACGTGGAATTAAATTTCTGCCCTTTTCATTTATACCCATTGAGGAGACCTTTTGCTCAGATGCAAAGAGTCTGTGAGTATAGACTTTGATATAATTACTTGTGTTTCACCCAATAAGCTACGTTCTGGGCATTCTGCTGAGGCACGAGTGGGTGGACTGCACAAGAGATCGGAAGACTGCGAGATCGCAAACCGTCTCGGCTTGATTTATCCGGTACGTGCTACTGCCGCATGTATAAACAGAAGTTTCCGTCGCATGATGTTAACAACAATGTCAATTGCAGGAGATTCACCAGCTACAGTACCCCATCTTGGAGAACTCGAGTGTGTACGACGACTTTGACGTACAATTACATGGTTGCCGTTTGCTTGGGGTATTCTGACTGACAGAGGTTTACGTAGGTCCATTTTGATGTACAAGGGTATGTTCTCGAACGGCTTTATCGAAAAGATCATCAACGTAGTCAAATTGACGGAGATTGCCAGCGAAGGGGGCTGCTTCATTGCCCAGCTGACGATCGCTCTGACCGTCAGGTAATTCTTGGTGCCACTAGGGACGAGAACTCAAGGCGCTCAAGTACGCGGATAACATCGTGTACATTTGCGAGAAGTTCTACATCCAAAATAAGAAACGGACCATGAGCCGCATATCCTTTGTCACATAGAGCTCGTCTCTTGCAGAATGAGATAGAAGTGTAGTTGACGATCGTGTACAGGTGTAGTACCCTGTGTTTTTGGCGGGGACCAACAAAATCTAGTTGATGATTGGCTCTTTTCAAGACGAAAAGTTTTCGCGCGCAATTCGATAAAGTACGATCTATATTTTAGAAATAATTCTGTAGATCTCTGTATCGCCTTCTTCTTCTCTCGCATATTATCGTCGCTTTCTGGCTTTTCTAACGCTTGTCCAGTCCATGCCGATCACACTATCGATCATGGAAGACAGCCATCATTTTGCCTCATCCCTCAGCCCTGGTACGTATAAAAGCGCTATTACTCGACCAACTCTTTGCATTTTAATCAGTCTAACTTTAATATCCATAGACTCCTTCGATTCCGACAGTCTTTCAGGACTTCACACGACGTGGATGGACGATGAACAGCTTAATAATTTATTGATTATGAACGTATTTTCCGATGTGCCAATGTCCAGAGCTCAGAATAGCAGTACTGACTACTTTAACATAGCAGAGAAGTCTATAGAGCAGTCGAATGCAATTGATTCAGTGCTTTATACGGAGTTAGGAGACCATGAGTCTCAGCTACTAGACGCAGCACTGGATGTCCCCGTTGACCAAAAGCATTCACTTATTTTGGAGTCTTCTGCAGACACGACAGTGGTTACGAGTCCACTGAAGATGCAAACACGACACTGTAGGAGCCCCAGGACACGCAGGACGACCAGTTCGGCCTTGTCAAGAACAGAAACTGGGACGAAATTACAACGAATTAGTAAGAAGGAGAGTAACGAGACTGAAGAACCGACGACACTGTTGAGTGATACTATGCGACCGAGGACGAGAAGCTTGTTGTGGCAAAAACATGAGCAGAACACTTTCTTTGCCTTATTTAAGGTCAAATGGCCACCTACACCAAAAAGCAAGCCATTACCTTCGTTTAGCTCGCTATTGCTGCAGCGCTTTGATGCCATTAGCACAAAGATCAGAACCAAGAGTGTGATGGAGGTGAAGCAGTTTTACACGACGGTGATGCAGAATATTTACGAGCTGCTGGTGGTTGTGGACAACGATGTCGATTTGACAAACCCAGACCAAGTGCGCATTGCTGTGTGGTGCTGGAGCAAACTAATAGCTGACAAGAAGCACCATGACGAGTAAGAATTTCTTATAAGCGGTTCATGTTAATCGTGGTGGTTTGTACGGTTCTAAGCGTTATTTTATTGTGTGTCATGTAGATTTCGAGCTCTTGCTTCGGAGCCTGCGGTAGTGAAGGCCAACCTGGCCAATGTGCTACTCCAGTCTATCATTCGTAGTCGCCGTCAAATGCTTAAGGCGAAGTCGGAAAAATTAACACTCAACAGCAACGCACCAGCACCTGGCCTAACTTCCATCTCAGCGTGGGTATCAAGGTCAAACCTCAGCTCCTTTTTTGCGAGATCGGACGTTCCAGAGGCCTCCACGGTTCAGATTCATTATCCAATGGTGCGAAAGAAACATTCTGCTTCAATGGGCCAGGTAGCAGTAATGTCTTCTGCTAGGGCCGCCTCGGTGTTTGACAATGCCAAAAAGGTGTTGTCTTTGCCAAATGAATTACCAGGAGGAGCGACAGTAGAACGCAAGCGCAGTGTGTCCACAGACCGTTCTCCTGTTATTGCTTCTGTGAAAACCCACCAGTCTGGAATTGGATCTGCTACTTTTACAAGCCCAGCATCGATGGGAAAGAGGTCTCGATCACGCACGCGAAATGAGATGATGTTCCACACGCCGCAAAAACTGTCGCGAAAAAAGATTTACATAAAGATGCGCATGGTGCCTCGAGACAAGCAAACCAAGGTGGACTTGGTGCGCTGCGGTATCAGACCAAAAGTGGAGCTGAAGTTATCGTCGACCAAGAAGGTCTCAGAGATCACGGCGCACATGAGCAAGAAGTGGGCTAAAGTACGCCCTCTTTTGCCGAAGGAGGCTGTGTTGTGCTTCTTCCAGAAAAGGGGCACTGGCAAGTGGTCCAAAGAAGACCCAAACGTGACCTGTTTCGATATTTGGAAGTTATCTGGAAAACAGACAAACGGTGAAAATGTGGTTGAGGTGTCTTATGTATGGATGGTGCCGGAGAAAATGACAACTTTTGCAGACGACCCAAATGTTCAAGCTCAAGATTTAATGCCTTTGTCGTCGCAATCCGGATTTTACTCGGAGGAAGTGTATTCTCCGACGAAGCAAGCAATAAGCAACGGTGACGAAAGTGAGACTGATCAGTTTTCTCCTGCCCTTGGCTTACAAGAGTTTAGCGAGACAGCTGCATTTGATCGAAGCGTTACCGCAGAAGCCAACGAGGAGGCAGCAGCTATTGAAGCAATGATTGGCGACAGCTGTGACGAAGATCTTGGTGAAGAGTTCCGCCTAGCTAGGGGTTGTTTGCGGCGGCGAATTAAGCCGGTGCTATTATCGAAAGAAGAGTTTAATATCTAAGCGGAAGGTGACCTTGTACAAAGTAATTGTCCTCTATTGTATCGGAGGAAGCAAAAATGCCACTGCAATCGTTATCAGGAGCTAGTCTACTTTTTGCTAGTCTACTTTTTGGACTGCGCGAGCAAGAGGCGATAGTGAAACCCACTTTCTAACGATACCACTTTAAAATCGGTGAGCTCTTTCACTTGATGTATTCCGGATTCAAAATTCCATTCGTACGCGCGACCGTCAGCTATTAAAGCGTGGTAATACCGATTAATACAGCGCCAACCTCAGCAGCACAGCAAACATTCAGCAGCTGACGTACCAGTAACAAAAGAAGACTTATCCACGCCCTTGCCAATCTCCACAATGTCCTTTGCACGAACAACTTGATCGTTGGTAATCTGCAGCGGAGTCGTGTGCATCTGCGATGCCACGTGGAAAAAGTCGTTACTTTCTTGACGACCCGAAGGCGTGCGACCTACTAGCCAGATCTTGTCGTCAGCTGACAAGCAAACAATCATGTGTCAGAAAAAACATCAAAGTGGCCAACAACACAAAACAGCAAACTCACCCGTAATGAAAGTCGTGTGGAACTGGCTGCACTTGAAGAGCTTCACAGCGTCACTTGTTCGTACAAGTCGCGGGACAATCTGATCAACGCTGCTCTCATCTTTTTTTGCCTTCGGGTTTAGTAGTTTACCCCACATGTACAACTCGCCGTCCTCTATGACACATACACAGAAACAACATGAGCACAACTTCAGTATAAACATCATGCTACTTATCAAGCAAACATTACAAACCCGAAACAGCGCAAGAGTAGTTAAACCCAGCACCCACTATAGCAATCTTTTTGCCCTTGAGAGCAATCACTTCCTGAGGAGCATCGACATTGCCAGTGCCGAAACCAAGTTGGCCACGCTCGCCCTTGCCCCACGTAAATACTGTGCCATCTTTGGTCACCGCAAGTCCATGCTGGTAGCCTGCAGCAATATCCACAATCTCGTCACCATCAATATCCACGTGGACCGGCAGCTGAACACTGACGCTTTCCTCGCCAATTCCGCACTGGCCGTAGCCATTAGCACCCAGAGTAAACAGTTTACCACTCTCCGTCAGCAGAAACGTCAATGCCGTCGAACACACGATCTTCTTAACTCGCTCTCCTTCAGATAGCTCCAATAGTGCTGGCTCCAGTGTATCCACCCCGCGCGCGCGCGTAAAGTTGTTCATCCACCACACGATCTTTGGAAGTATACGCTGCATGTTAGTAGTGCGAATGACGTCACGGAACGAATGCGTACGTCCATATATGTAGGCGTCTCCGTCATTTGTTACAAAACCAGCGTGAGCCCAGCCAACAGAAATCGACTTGACAGACAAACCAGTTGTCGTGGGCAGCGGTGTAGGACGTAGTACATTTTCGTAGTTTCCCGTGCCCAGAGCACCCAGAAATCCATCACCATACGACAGCAAAATAGCTACAACAATAGTATATCAAACACATCCAATAAAATTAATATCAGATTAGATAGCAATGTGGATTATATGATGTAGTATCATTTAGTAGACAGATAAACGTACGGACAGGAGTGGAGCTAGCAGTTTGTGTCGAGAAGGCAGCGGCTGCATGGGTTGCAAGCAAAAATTAGATGTGCTTTCTGACAAACATAAGAGCGAGATTTTGTAAGAGGGAATGCGTACTGTGAGCAGCGGCAAAAGCCGACCGACTGCCGATGACAAGAAAGCGCAGTGACATCAGATGCAAGTGATGTCAATCACGGCCACAGGAGGCAGTAACTGCTTAACTATTGGATAAAATTAATGAGATTAATTAGAAATAATCGGCCAATCATCATTAGATAGCTTAATTTAGAAGCAACAGTATGGAAAACACCCTATGGAGCCAATCTTGACCAGCGAAAACCATATCGACACCTAATAAAATAATGGCCGGCCTTGTTGGTAACACAATCTGGAGGCGAAATACTCACGAGGTGACCACTGTTGTTTTTCAAACCAACGTAGTAAAATGACTCGCGTTACGTACCCAAGAATTGGCACAGCTTCAGTCAACAAACGAGTAGGATAGAGATCCGAATCCAACGTTATTCCAGGCTTTGATTACAAAGTGGACAGGAAGGAACTCGCTGCAAGTTCACTGATGTGAACGCCCACTTGTCCAGACACTCGAGATGAAATTCGTGCTTGCACTTGCGCAATAGACGCAGCACATCGCCCGTCTCGTACTCGTCGCAACAGATACAGCAAGTATCATTATTAGACGGTCCTCCCCTGTACTTTACCAGCAGTTCTACCAGTTCCTGACGCTCAACACAGCCAGTGAAGTCTACGTCGCGACGCTCGAGTCGTTGTTTTAAATCGGCAATGCTCGCTTCCTTGAGCTCCTCTGGCGTCTTAAATTCTTCCGTGGGCATTACCTGAATAGTGCGCAATGTACGGTTAAACGTCTCGGAGCGCATGTTCTCCTGTGTCCCTCGGTTCGGATTGTGTGCGTCACGCTGAGCTGCTACCGCTGCCACTTGCGTATATGCCTCTCGGAAGAAGGCCACCCAGCCCATTTCAGGGTGCTACAAATATAGTAAACAGCAATAGTAGTCAGAATCTTTAGTGCAGCACTAAAGATCCAAGTCGGAATACAAATGTATCTACTGTGTACCTGCCCGCGGAGCTGGTAGAGAACGCGACAGAAGCGCGTGGCCTTCCAAAAGGTCAAGAGCGAGAGGCCAAGCAGAAAAAGGATGGCAACGTTAAGTGCAAGTGACGCGCCCTCATTATCCGCAGCATTACTCTGCAGTAACGGCATCACCACCTGCACAAACAGCAGCAGCGCCACCATCCATGGATTGTCCGTTGCATTAATCATCACAAACATGGCTACAAAGCAAAAATAGAAATGATGAAGGTACGTGTCTTTGCAACTGCGCAGCGACTTTGTCCCTGTCAATATGGTACAGGAAAGTGGTACAACGTACCTCCTCGACGACGAAGATGAATGCGACGACACCGGCATTGATCCCACCCTTCCGGTTCAGCACTGTGCAGCAGGGTTTGTATCGTGGATCGTACCCGACACTCAAGAACTTTCGATTCTTGCGTCGCTTAAATCTGAAAACGGTGGTGTCGGTGATCCCGGAATTGCCCACGAGCGACTTGGTAGAGTTTTGCATGAATGAGAAGATCACATTACTGCATTTCTACGCCGAGAAGTTCACATCCGACAATGTAACGGTGCCACCTGCTACGGCAGCGAAAATTGTGGAGATAGTAGTGCAGCAGAAGAACCTTCCACTGTATATTCACTGTCTAGATGGGGCCAATGTGACGGGTATTGTCGTCATGATCCTCCGTAAGCTTCAGAACTGGACCAAGTTGGCCACAGTTTCAGAGTTTTGCAGGTGACTATGTATGCAATGAACTACTTTTCTAACCAGAACAAAAGCTTGTTAACGTCTAGCTCGTTGCTGTAGGTTCACACGGGACCATGGTATTGAAAAAGACGAGTCCGAGTACTTGGCTGTCTTTTCCGAAGAGATCGTGGTCACAGCCGATGTCCCAGCGTGGCTATGGAATGGCGTATGCGTGACAAAACACCCGACAATGATCGTGCATCAGCCTGATTTAGAGCTCGCAGGTGCCAACATGCTGGATGCTGCAGGAAACTCGAATAATGGCACGCCGAACCTCAAGTGGGAGACAAAAGTCGATAAAACCGAGGCTATTCTGCGTCAATTTGAGGAAGCCAGTCGCAACCGAATTGGAGAAGTAACCGAAGGAAGCGACGAGGTGGAGACGATTATCGAAGAAGCACTGCAGGACCTTCCGCTTACTCGGTCGCTCGAAGCGTTGGATCTAGCAGGAGTGTAATTGAGGATATCGAGTTTCTAGCTAGACAATCATAAGACTTGTATTATCCTAAGAAGCTACGAGATGCACAGACTGTACCCATCCATGTATTGCTCATTTGAATTTGGCGTTGTTTCGAGATTGAGTTGCTGCAGTTGGCGCCATAACGGGATAGTGTGCACCACGTAGTGATTGTTCCGGTGGTGCATGTCTGTTTAAGCTCAATTGGCAATTGGCATGTCTACTGCCAAGTCTGACAAAGATGCACTTACCACTCTGACGACGTCCAAAAGTGACGTCCATTTAGCAGATGAAAAAGCCGCAGTAACGTCGTCCATGTTTGTGTTTACAGCGGATAAAGCTGGTATGAAGGACGTAAACAAGCAGCACGTCCAGGAGGTGGTGCACAAGATGTCGAAAGATTCTTCGTTTTACCAGAAATCTCTACGTGACAATGAAAAGGTGGAGCAGCGTGTAGTTGCAATGCGTGAGAAGCTCGCGTACTTGACTAGCGGACAGCTGCATCGTCTGCAATCGGAGGCCGACGCCCGAATGGCGCAGATGGAGGCAACACGAGACCTTTCGCGCACGATTGTGGTCGTAGACATGGACATGTTTTACGCTGCCGTGGAGATGCGAGATAATCCTAAGCTACGTGACGTGCCACTTGCAGTTGGTGGACTCAATATGATCAGCACTACCAATTATGCAGCAAGGCAGTTCGGCGTGCGTGCTGCCATGCCAGGATTTATTGGTAAAGAGCTGTGTCCAGAACTCCATTTTGTGCCAGTCAACATGGAAAAATACAAAGGAGTGGCTGCTCAGATCCGCGCCGTATTTGTAGAGTACGACCCGGAGTATGAGGCTTTTAGTCTTGATGAAGCTTGCCTTGACCTTACGGAATTTATGTCCAAGAACTGGCAAAAGTATATTCTAGCCGCTGAAGACGATATTGGGAGTAAAATAAGTGACGATCAACAATGGGTGTTGACAGCTGCTGGCCGTGCAGCAATCGCAACGGTTATAGTCCGTGAACTACGTGCGAAAATCTATGACAGTACGCAGCTTACAGCCAGTGCTGGTATTGCAGTGAACACTATGCTCGCTAAGGTATTGTCAGGTCGTCTTGTGCTATGTTTACATACTTCTGTTTCTAATGCGTTGGTGTTGTTGTACGCGCGCAGATCTGCTCGGACATAAACAAACCTAATGGGCAATACATCTTGCCGTTCACACGAGAATGCGTGATATCTTTTATACATGAACTACCAGTGCGCAAGATCGGTGGCATTGGTAAAGTTACCGAAAAAATTCTTAACGACGCGCTTGATGTGAAAACTGGTGCTGAGTTGTTTGCTCAGCGAGGCAAAATCGCTCATTTGTTTTCCAAAAAGACGGCTGACTGGTTGTTGCAGACCTCGCTTGGCGTACGAGAGCGACGCGAGAAACAAGAACGCAAGAGCTTCAGCCGCGAACGCACGTTTCCAAGGTTGGGTGATCCGAAGAAGCTCGAAGCAAAGTGTGAAGAGATCTGCAAGGTGCTCGCAAAAGACCTTGAGAAGGCAGACAAGGCCGCTAAGAATGTGACGCTAGTCTACAAGGACACGGACTTTGTCCGCTGCTCTCGGTCAATGACGCTTGCTTCTGCAGTATTTACTGCCGACGATTTATTTGCTAGCGCTGTCCAGCTTCTACGCCGTGAGTTGCCACTCACTCTGCGTCTTATGGGTGTTCGTGCAGCGACATTGGTATCCCGTCCTACTGGCTCAAGCGCGGATAACTCCTCTCAGACTCACATAAGCAGCAAGAAGCGACAAACCGCTATCAATAAGTTTGCTGAACAAGTTGGCCATCCTGCTGCTGCGTTCGCTTCAGGCGATAGTGGAAGCAATGATCGAAACATGATTAAAAAGGCCGCAATTGGGAAATACTTTTCTGCCTCCGTGACCGCTACTTCCTCCAAGAAGAGCTCTTTTTCGTGCCCAGAGTATGGGAAAACTCTTTCTGCAGGCACTGATAATTCTGAAGCGGAAACACATAGTGACGGTTGTGTCTTCAAGGATGATGCTGGAAGTTCAAGGCGTAAGAGGCCGAGAAAGACCGATATTCCGCATGCCTTCGCTCTCAGATCATATCCGAAGAGTACGCCGGTGGTTGACAACAAGCCGTGCCCAATTTGCGGGAAGCTATTGAATACAGGGAACAACATGGAGGTAAATGCTCATATGGATGCGTGCATCGTAGGCAAGAACTCTTCTCCATTATCGTCACCGTTGCAACATACAAAGCACAAAAAGCTGAAAGCGCCATCACGTGTCCAAGACTATTCGAAACATGCCTGTGAAGACGTAAAGCCGTGTCCTATATGCGGAAAACCACTGAATATTCGTAGCAGCATGGAGGTGAATGCGCACATGGATGCATGTGTTGCCCGAGATCAATTACCCCCAGTGAGAATGATAGGTAAGAAGAGGAGTAAGCACGAAGCGTCTAAAAAGAAGCTTGAAAACAGCATCGATGTTTTCTTCCGCAAAAACTACAATGACTGATGTTCCTGCTCAACATTTCTTGGGTTCCATGACGCATGATGATACAAACAGGAACAAACGAGAACTAGACAATAAAAGTATTATGGAAAATGGCGGCTTCTTCATGCATATTTGGAATCGCGGTCTAATCGCCTCCCAAGTCACTCTACATACCACATCAAGGAGTTCTATAGCATAATAAGGTACCAATCAAAAGAGATGGATCGGGGGTGCGAAAAGCAAGCCGCTTATTCCTCGTCCGAGTCGCTCCAGTACTCGCCAGCAGCCTCCGCCTCCTTACGAGCTTTATCCTTGGCTTTCTTCTCCTTACGCGTAAGTTTGCGCTTGATCTTCGTCTTTGTTACGTTGCCAAAAGCATCCATAACCTCCTCCTCGTCCTTCTGCTCGATCTTCGTCTTGTCCTCAGCCTGCTGGCCCTCAACCGCAAGGAAACCGGCTTCAATGTTCCACGTTTCCTGAGTCAAGGCCGAGGAGAATTCGTTGTGGTGAGTAATCATAACCACACCACCGTTGAACTCCTTAATGGCCGAAGCAAGAGCACCAAGCGAGTCACGGTCAAGGTAGTTCGTGGGCTCATCAAGCACAAGGATGTGCGGGTTCAGCCACATAGCTGCGGCCAGCACAACTTTCACCTTCTGACCACCGGACAGACCGCGCATACGTGAGTGGGTACCGAACTCAGCACCCAGGCCAAAGCAGTCAAGGTGCTTCTGGACAGCAATGGCGGTAGGCGGGCGGGACTGCAAGTTGGCGCGGGCGGCTTCGCGGTCATCAGCGATCTGCAGAAGCTTGTCCCAGCCCCACTTCTCACACTTTTCACGCGGCACCCACGCGTTCTCGTCCACCGGGCATTTCTCCCACTTCAGCTCGTACTCAAAGCTCTTCTTAAATTTGCGGCGGGACACAATCTCCTCCAACACGCGCTTCTCGCCCTCCCAGTTCACTGGCTTCTTAAAATGCTCCTTCTCCTCCGCGCTCAGCTTTCGCGTCGCCTTAGCTAATAGCTCCTTGTCCTCACCAGACTGGAAACGCCACTGAATATACTGATTGGCTGTCTCGTCGAGATGCGACTCAATGTGGTGGAAAGCGTGCTGAGCCACGTAGGCAAAACGCATGGAAGGATGCTTCCACACCTGTCCACTCGTCGGCTCAACCTCACCAGTCAGCATCTTAATCAGCGTCGACTTACCGGCACCGTTGGGTCCAAGCACAGCAATACGACTAGACAGAGCGCACGTCACCGAGATGTTGTTGATCGACGGCTTGGGGGTTCCAGGATACTGGTACGAGCACTTGGTCAGACGAATAATGGGCTTACCCTTGTTCTTGATATCAGCAAGGAAGCCAGGCTCCGGGAACGTAAACTTCACATTCTCCGACTCCAGCTCGTAGTAGGCCTTGGCCTCCGGCTTCTGCTCCACGAAACGGGAAAGATTGCCCTTGTAGATCTTCAGCTTGCGGGTCTCGTAGTGAATAATGTTCGTGCAGACCGTGTCAAGGAAGCCAGAGTCGTGCGACACCATAATCGACGTCACATTCGTCAGACCCGTCAGGTAGTTCTCCAGCCACGCGACGTTCTTGACGTCCAAATGGTTCGTCGGCTCATCAAGCAACAAGATGTCTGCCTTCTGCAGCATGGCACGGGCCAGCTCCAATTTCATCTTCCAACCACCAGAAAGAGTACCAACGCCCTGAGCTTGCATGTCAGGGGTGAAACCCACACCGGCAAGAGTGTCCTCGACCTCCTTGCGCGGAGTGTTCTTCAGATCCTCATCCACTAGAATAAAGTCCACCACGGACAGCTCAGCCTCAGAAGCCTGCAGGTTGTGCTCCACAAACACAGTCTTCAGCTCGTCGCGGCTAGGGAAGCCCTCCAGCTGGCCGTTGGAAATGGCGCGCATCAACGTCGACTTACCACAACCGTTAGGACCACACAGACCGTAACGGTGACCACGCTTTAGGCGAAGACGAGCATTGTTCAACAGAATCATACCACCATAGGCAAGCGAGAACTCGCAATTGCAAAGGTCAGGAATACCCTCATCGCAATCCACGTCCTCAATGAAAATCGACTTGTTCTCCTTGAAGCAGCGGTCGCGGATCTCGTTCGAGAGTGGCTTCAGGTCCGTAGCACTCATAAAAGCCTTAAAATAAGCACTGATCTCCTTCTCGAAGACAGCCTTGTTGAAGTTGCGAGCAACCACCAGGAAGTAGCAAATGCCCGTCACGTAGTCGATGGTGAAGCTGTCAATTTCGGCCTTCACGGCAGCGGGACTAGAGGCAATCGACTCGATCACAACCTTGTGGATGTTTTCATAGTCGACCTTCAGCTCGTCTTCCGATACCTCCATGGAACCACCAGCAACGAACAGAGTCTCGTGTGCGCGAGTGGCGACCTCACGGCACTCAGGATCAGCTTGGGTCTCAATAACTTTCTTCAAACCAGGCAGTAGCTTAGGAATAAACAACTGAGCTTCAGCGGGATCATCCATCAGCTTGCACATGTTGTCAATGATGACAGCGGCCTGACGCTTTACAGCAGTCTTACCCTCAGCCAGAGCACGCTTCAGCAGCGGCTCCATGATGGCAAGAGCAGGAGCCTCCACGGTCTTGACGAACGTGGTGGAAGCCAGCTTGTGGGTGCACTCAGGCACCTCCGTGGGATTCGTCAAACAGCTCACCAGGGCCGGGATGAATGGCTCAATGTCCATGTTGCCCACAACGCTGCAGACACGAGTCATCGTCTCCTTGGCGGCAACCTTCACCTCTTTACGGGTGTCCCACATACAGTCCGTCACCTGCGGGATAATGTCAGGCAGACAGCGTCCAACCTGGTACGGGGCAATCGTAGACAGTGCAGCTATGAGATCGAGCGAGCCTTTCTTAGTCTGCCACTTCTTCGAACGGTCTAGACCGTCGAACAGGATTGGCAGAAGGCGGATCGTCGAGTTCTTGTTAGCTGAGCTGATAATGGTCAAGGCAGCTTCTTCTGCCACAGGACGGACAGTCGGCTTCTTGTCCGCCAGCAGGTCTAGGAACACGGACAGTAAAGGCACGAGGTAGGCTTCTACGCGTTCAGCGTACTTCTGCATTAGATCATCCACGACATACGCAGCCACAATCTTAGCGTCGGCATCGTTGCCAGTCAGCGCATTGCGTAGCTCCTGCGAGACGACACCAAGATTCAAGTTGGCATCACCGCCCACCAGCTCTGACACCTTCTCCGCCGCAACCTTTTTGTGGTCTGCCGTGCTCTTGAAAGCCTCCTTCAGTGCTTCAGTAAAGTGCTTGCTCTGGTCAATAGCGAGCTTGCTAATGCCATCGGTAGGAGCGTACGGGGCCATAGTACCGAGTATAAACTGTTCTTTCTTCCTTGAGGGGACTCGAGGTACTCGCTGGGCTTGAGCTTGGCGGGATAAATTTCGGAATGAAAGCTCAGAGAAGGCGGCGAGTCTCCGCCAGTCAAGAGGACGAAACCACCGTAGCCAGTCAGCGAGCGGGCGGAGCGACCGGGCCGTTGGCTGGGAAAGGGGTCATCCTACTAGGGCTGTGTTTAGGAATACTGTCCGTGCTCTGGAATCCTGGATCAGGAGCCAGTCCATTTAAAAAGAAGATTAATTTTCTTCAGCAGGATGTTCCGCAACAAAGACGCTGGGACATGACAGTAAGAGAAACGGCCAGGCATCTTAGTAAAGATGAGGCAAATTGGACAACATGCAGTCCAAAACATTTTTGCAAATACTTGGCGCCTGCACTTTACATTCTCAACAAAATCCAATTCTCACGCCAAAGTAGGTACGAAGTGTATCTAGCGACCGTTACACGTACTACGAACGGGCGGCCGGATTCAGGATCGGTACGTGGGAAATGATAGACCGATTAGACGACGTAGCAGCAGATGTTCTCCCATACCTATCAAAACCGATGAGCGTACTACCATCGGTAATAAAGAGGATACGAAATTGTAGAGGCTGCATATATTGTAGCATCAATCGTTTCTCCGCTTTTTTCGAAGCATGAGTTAAGCGTGGCCATACAGCTTGTCGTTTTAGTACGCGTCTATTGTCATATATGCACTGAAGTCTACTACGTTCTTCTCCACCAAGACCTTCCAACAGTGTACTGGTTTGCGTTAACCTTATTCTCACGGCTTGTCAAAATGAATAGACGATGTTGGCTGAGGCAGAGAGGAGGTCCTTTTCTGGCGAAACGTCTCAGCCCATCTTTTCAGGTCGGGGTACGTGCAACGGTTGGCGAGTATAGTAGCAGCGTAGTATGCCGCCTACCTTCCGTTCCCATTAAATCTTCGTTGTTTCGGACGGCTTCGTGCCAGGGAGTGTGGCTGCCACGACATGCAACATGGTCAAATGCCCACACTGGATAGTTTGCTCCAAGCAATAGCGTTGTTTATGCCAGCGTCTTTAACAACGCTATTGCATGAAGAAATCTGAGCTCCGGACTTTGGAAACGCTGGAATGCAGCGTTTCCCCTGTCAATGCAACAGCGTTTGCCGTTGTTCGGCCCAAAAATTATAGAGGAAACAAGGCTAAAAGGTCAAATACTGATAGTAATAAAATATACGAAGTGAGCATGATTACGGAGATTTCATGTGTACGCATCAAGCCACATGTTTCATTGTTCGGTGCCGGTGTTCGATTGTTTCATCTTCTTAGTCCTAGATAAAAGTGCTCGTTGACCTGTTTCTTGTCCTGCATCGCGCGGCTGTTGTTTATAACGCCTCCGCCTTTCACCTTGGTCTTCGTCTCAGCGCATGTTGCCACTGTCGTCTACTATATTTACATGGCTGCTCTCGCTACCGTAGTCTTGCGCTCGTCGTGATTGGCCTCGCAAAAACATCACGCTGGTTTTTCTCTGGTGCTTGTATTGGTCCCGATATCCGTTTTTTGCGTGTCACGTTTGCGCGGTGAAATGGCTTCATCTCTTGAGCGTTAGAGCCTCGACAGCGCTCCCCGGGGCCGTTTCTTGTTCAGTTCATCATGCCTTCATCTGTTACCGCTCGGCAGAAACAAAATCTCAATCAGCCTTTTTTCACTCACTCCGACCGACTTGTGACGCGCTGAACACGTGGTCTTGGTGAGGCAAGCGACGTGGCATTGAGTCAGCCGCCCTGCTAAAGAGCATATTTACTCCACGAGAGTAAAGCTCTTTAACAGCGATTCCTCCACTACAACAAAGCACAAGGCGCGAGCTAAACAGCCACACGCCAGCACCGCTCACATATTATCTTGCGAGAAACAAACAACGCAACATACAAAAAGCATTTCCGGGAACACCATATTCACATTTTTGATTGACAGTACCCACCCGATTGGCGCGAAAACAGCACAGATGTTTACTGCAATGGTGTCCTTAAGATCACCAGGCAATCACAGGATTATTTGTCCAGTGTATTTTTGGTTTGGCACAGGGGCGACATCGATGTATTCTTTGTGGCCGGTAGCGTTTCTGCAGAAGCCCACGGCGCTTTGGTCGACACACCTTCTACTGCAACATCAGGAGCACGAACGTTCGTACCGCGATGTGTGCTCACCGGAATATAGGTCGACCCGTCATCGGCTTCGTGGCTCGGAGTCCATGTGCAAGGAAATAGTGCGCCGAAGCGCAAGTGCTGGATAACTGGCAGTTTCTTCAGGACTTCACCTTCGTACAACTTGAGCATACCTCCGTTGGTCTTTTCCCACGATGGTAGCGCACTAATGTCGTTCAACATTGGTGATGTCTCCGCAAAGGATGAGGCTGCCTTCACTTCCTTAATAAACTTGATAGCGTCCAAATACAAATATTCCTGGTAACTCGCCTCCAACAGACTGTCGTCGTGCACACTTTCAGGTAAGATCTCGTGCTGTCCAATGAGTTGGGCAGATCCAAAGTAGAACGGGAGGCAATGGTAGTCATCCAGCCCCCAGACGCCATGAGAGCCTGCCGGTTCCAGCATGTATTGCTTCTGCAGTTGACGCATTATTGCTAGATATGAAGTAAACAGCCGCAGCACAAGTGCTGGGAAGTCCGATTGCTTGAAAAAGCCAATTTTGTGCAGACAACCTGCAACAACATAGATGTCAGCACCACCACTCCACCCCGCACTTCACACCTTGCAGCACGTACACATCCACACTATAAAGCTGGTTTCGTGGCCCGTGCCATAGTCGATCCGGACACTGTTTCCAAAAGAGTCATCTAGATATGCCGCCAATTCAATGACAGCACTACGCTTTTCCTCCGGCAGCATGTTCTCCTGCATCGCTCGTGTTCTCTGTCATATAAGCATATACACAGTGAGGTCAAGTAAGTAGAACCTAAAAGGCGGTAGCATAGCAAGCCGTCCGCCAAGACGTAAAAACAGTCTGCATGAAGTCGTTTCTCTCTCGCTCACGCACCTCGATAACACGATCGTAGAATGTACGAAAAGCCTTGTTGCCAAACCGCATTGGCTGCTGGATGGGTGGGATCTCGACAATCCATGAGCTGATCTCGTTCATCACGTCTACCGCCTTCTGTACGTTCTATAAACATCGCGATAGTGTTTCGAACATGACAACATAAGTGAATCTTTCAGCCCACTGTTGTGCCACAAAACAGTGAGCAACATCTCACCGGTGACACTTCGTATGCGTCCGAGATGCGCTTGCTCTTGACACTTTCATTCAAGTGCTTTACAAATACTAGTATCATCTGCTGGGCCTGAGGAGACGTGAACAAGAAAACAACCAAAAAAAATCATTTTTAGCGGCACAAAGCGATGTACAAACGTAGAAAAAGAAAGGTTGGAGGTAATTCAACGCGTAGCACAAGAATGAGAGCACGAACCGGAGATCCCACGAAATGCTGCAGATCGCTCTGCGCAAAAATGGCCCGCGATGGTTCCTTATAACTGCCACAGTCGCTCATTCTACGTGGCTTTTTGTACTTCCTCCCGTGATTTTTATATCTGATTCGGATAAAATCCAATTTTAAGTAGCAAATGAATTTTGCTTCTTTGTCTCTAATTTAGTTGTGCATTTTTGTTGTATCATCATTTACTTCCTGTGCTTTTGCCATCTGCAAAAATTCGATATCATTTTTACAAAATCTAGAGCTGAATAGCATCAAAAATATACGCAGGAACGTGACCATCCAGAATGCTCCGCTTAATCTTGGCGCAGCGTGCAAACTCGAGCATGAAAATTAGTGCGTTGACCACGTCCACAGGAAGCTCCGTTGGCAACGAAGATGACTTGCCCTTTTTATCACTGAAAATATCGTTGACCTTGGTACGCACAAACTGGCCCAAATAGGCCAAAAATTTCTCAGTGTACGAAGGATGGAACTGCTTGAAGATAGTGAGGATGCCAACGAGGAGAGGTTCGCCATCAATGGGATTCTTACCAACGCGGCTGAGGGCACCAAAGTTACGGTCGTACTGTAGCTTCGGCATATAGGCCACCACAAAGAGCATGAACATAGCTGCAAGTCCCTCCATAGGCTCTGCAACGGTCACGTAGATCTTCTGGAATGGATCATTGGCACCTGTATTCTCTAGATATTTGTTCAGTTCCACAAGCACGGGGTTGCCATCATTGCCAGGGTACGGCTTGTTCTTCGGGTCACGATAGTGTGCGCGAATATCATTTAAAAGCGAAATGTTCAACGTATCCAGTGTTGAAGCTAGCAAATTAGCGTCCAGGCGGCTTGAGAACGAGAGTTCACTTGAAATCTGTCGCCGGATGAGTGCTGCCTGACCAATAATAAGCACAGCCTTGAGCAGCTTACTCATGATCTTCTCTACCTTTTTCAGCGCAGCTTCGTATAGCTTCGTCGAGTGCTCGGGCAGCTTCCACTCTGGCACAAGCGCTTCGGAGAGCTGGTTCAGGAGCGGTAAGTAAGGCGTTACAGCTGACCCCCAGAACTTCACCAAGTTGTTAAGTGTATGCACAATACGGAACGAAAGCATACGGTCTAGACCTGCCAGGCCTAACAGACCTACGCTCTTGTGAAGAACAGAGAAAGCACCAATGCCACATACTTCTTTGCCATCTTCGGAGAACCAACCGATGGACTGCGGTGAGTAGATGGTTGTATGGGGGTCAGTCATGATAAAAAGCGCATGCATGAGGCGTCCCATGAAGTTCACACTCATATCACCTGATGGCGGCTGAAAGCGTGGAATCGGGATTGCACGACTCTGGTACTGGGATGCGCGGTCGTACACTTTCTTCTTCAGGTAGCGGTTGCATTCTTGCTCGACGTTGTAGTTGATAATACGAGATAGCTCTTCGTGCCACATGCGCAGTCCGTAAATACCAATGTAGTCTTGAATGTATTCGAAAGATAGTCGATAGGCATCCAGGTTGGAGGCCAACTTAACAAAGACCTCGTTACATTCTTCAGACGTATTCTTCTCAAAGTTGAGCACCTCGTGGAAAGCGAGCGACACACGATAGACAAGCTCTTTGCGCAAACCATCTTCCAGCACTTGTCGAGGGTCGACCTCGATGATACCAAGTAACGTACGCTTCATGGCCAGAATACCCTCAGTGTACTTGGAAACCTCATTAGTTGCACGTGCAAGGCGGTAACGCTCGTTCAATTGAGCGTGGTTCTTTAGCAACGTGTTTTCGAACTTCACGGGAATCGGCTTCATGTGGTCTGTCTGCAGCTTGATTATACCCGCCAAGATACGGAAGACGCTCTGTGGAATGACTTCCATAACGCGCCGCACGTAGTCCACGAGCTCAGCCGAATAATACTCCGCCACCGAAATCACATCCTCGGACCCACACTGATGAATACGCGTAAGCGGTACATCCAAAATTGACGCAAACTTCAGAAACATCGCACGCAGCAAAATGACAGACGACGGGTCATTTTTTACGCGCTGATGCAGGATCTTCATGAAATCGTTAATGATCTCCCAGGCATACGATAAATCTGACACATTCTCGATAATACCCATGACCTCATCTCGAATACGCACGGTTCGCACCATTTCAGTAAGAAATTCGCGAGACTCTTCAAGATACGCCTTTACTTGCAAATTCGTGTCAATTTGGTCAAACTGTTCAACGTGGCCCAATGCCTCAATCAGTCGTTTAATTCGTCGCCCAGCCTTAATGTGATCTATGTAGTCCAAGCTGTTGACCTTCTCAGCCAGGTCCTTGAACCACTTCATAAGATCCTCATTGCGTTCCACGCGGGTGAGCGGTTTCTCACCTGAAAAGTATTCGCTAAGCTCCTCCATTCGTTCCGATGTTTCCTTCATACAACGCTGCCACCGGTCTTCTTTACTGGCTAGCAGGGCTTCGAACATTTGCTTGAGCTTCCACTCCAACTGTGAGACCTTGAGCAGTAGAGTGATCAGCTTGTCCGGGTCTGTGCCTTTATCAAAGATATCGCGCTGAGCCGTGGCGTTTTCCATCATGGAGATTACTGGTTGAATGCGGGAGTGCATCATAGTCCACCGGATCGTCACGTTGGCGTTACGAATACAGTTCAATAACGGATCAAGATTTTCCAGTACATACATTTCCGTAAGTACGCCTTCGGTCAAAAAATAGTTTAGTTCTTCGATGGATCGCTGCATCTGCTGTGCCTTCTTCTTCGTAATGTGAGCAATATTCGACGGCTCCAGCGTGTTTGCAAGCGCCAAGCGTGCCGCTGGGTAAGCCGCCCACTCCAGCGATAGGTCAGCTACTGCTCCCATGTACGTCGTTAAGATGAAGTTGTCGTTAAAGTGACGATCTACGATTTCGCGCATACTCGCCTTCTCGTGAATCAGGATATCCGGCGCAAAAAACAAGATCACGAAAAGCATCGAAGCTTGTCCTGCAAGTCGAGTAGAGCGATGGGTGCGGTGCGGGAAGCACGGTTCTTGCAGGTACACATCGTCAGACTGCAGTTTACCAATCACCATACTGACAACTTCCTCCGGAGGTTGAAAGCGCTTGAAGTATCGCTCTGGATACTGAGCCGGCTTTGGCTGGCCAGGCAGGTATCCCGTCACGCGGCATAGTTTGCAGACTTCGTCAATGTTTTCCAGTGCAGACTCGCCCTTGCTTCGATAGAAGGCGATGACCATCTTCTCACGCGTCGAGCCGGGGATCTTGCGGTCCAATAGCAGCAAGATCACTCCGTAGAGGTACAACGCCTCACACATGAGCTGAGCACCGTCCGTGTCCAGCAAGATGTTGGCCAGCGTGTGTTGAATAAAGAAACCTTTCTCGAGATTATCCAGAAACTCCAAGTAGTCACTGATATACTACCAACCAACGCACGACCACATAATCACTTTGCGTCAACCTCCGTTACATGCACCACCTTCCAGCTTCAAACCAGCAAGCATACCTTATAAACGCCGTCAAATAGCTGGTAGAACCGATCCAGAATGTCTTCATGGTTATCCATAAATTCATCATCGACATCCAAAAGCTCCTACCAAAGTAGAGAAGCAGTGTAACCCATCGTATCTGACCCATTCGTGTATAAAACCCATTGTTCTTGACATTCACCCACCGTATTGCTGTTGACCATATTCTCAAAGTCCTCTGGATTCTTCAAATACGCAAAATCAAACAGAATGTTCAAGTATTTGAGTTGCTCTGGGTCTTCCACATGCGAAGGCCCCATGAAGACGCTGTAGCATTCAGACATCAAGTTAAAAGACGGTATCGATTTTTTTCTATTATCTCTGTCTACGCACCCCGGGATATTGTTGGACAAACGAAGCAGCTCAGCAATGATAGCGCTACCACGACTAACGAGGCGCAGCAGCGTTTGACCGCAGTCGTTTTCCTCGGCGAGGAACTCCATGAACTCCTTGAAGCGATTTTTAGGGGGGATGTAGTACTCAAGCAGTACCTCCTTGTACCGGTACCAATAAAACGATCGGTAGTGTACTAGTACCCTAGCTGTTAAGCTTTAGCGTATTAAGCTTTATCTTAGTCAAATTGTCTATAAAAAGCGCCGTTTTAAGAAGAATGTAAAACAGCTGTCGTACCGGTAAATGAGCTCTACGTGGTCTCACTATCGTAGACGATGGACGCTACCAATAAGCGTCGAGTGACTGCCGATGTAGAGGTGCAAGTCGCAGAGAGAAGCCGTAACCTGCCCCATGCCCGGCCTACCAGTCAACAGAGCGCTCGAAAAAAATCGTCCTCCTGGCTTGGTGCACCGCTTGTGTATGCTGCGTTGACATTCTTCGGCCTCATGATCTTTGTACACGTGTGGCAGTTCTCGAGCTCGCAGATACGTCCAGTACTGTCCACGCCCTTTTACAATAAGACGATGGTACAGTTTTCTACCAAATATGGCCCCTTTACAGTGGATCTGTACCCAGAGCACGCGCCCCAAACAGTAGAAGCTTTCAAGAAGCTTGTAGACGGTGGCTTTTACCTTAAGGATGCCGGCTTTTACTACAATGAGCCCAAGTTTGTGTTGCAGGGAGGAGGCTTTCTCTTTGACAAAGAGTCACCTATCGGCAATCTACCGGTAGAATACAGCGCCCCGAGCACCGAGAGGATGGTGGTGATCGCGCGTGGCCATAAGTCGGGTTTGGGTAACACCGAGTTCGCCATCATGCTGCATGACAATACAGAGAGAAACAGACCGAGCGAGGATGGACCTGGCTACACGACATTTGGACGAGTCGTGGAAGGATGGCATACCATTGAGTATATCTCGAAGAAAATGGCGTCCGGATTCATGGCCAAAGAGGACCGAGATTACCAGATTGGATTCGACAAGGTCGAGTTTGTGGAGCGTCTTACAAACGACAACTACGAGGCCAGAAAGCGGCTTGAGGAGTTGACGTACGTGCTGGAGACCCCATACAGCATCGTGATTATCTCAGAAAAGGACTGCCCCGAGAAGAAGGAGGTGCAAAAGATGCTTCACGAGTTCCGCTCCACTGTGCGTACCAAGGAGATTGGTTCTGACAGCCATATTCCGTTTGAGCTGGAAGCCGTGGAGGCGCTGATCGGTCGCAAGCCGTTGCCGTTTGTGTTCATTAAAGGCAAATATATCGGTGGTCTGCCTGAAGTGCAGAAGATGCAGCAGAGGGGTACGCTTCGTACAACGCTGGAGAATAGCGGCACGCTTGCAGAAGATGCCGTGTGGTCAGCTATCAATCAGAACCCCTTGGTGCTCTTCAGTAAGTCGTACTGTCCGTACTGCAGGAAAACCAAAGCGACGTTGGCGGAGCATGGTGCCAAGCCCGTGGTGTTTGAGCTGGATACTCGAGAAGACGGTCCGGCCATCCAAGCTTTTCTGTTCCGATTGACGCGTCAGTCTACCGTGCCGAACCTTTTTATCAAGGGCAAAAGCGTCGGTGGAAACGACAACGTGCAGGAATTGGAGCGGTCCGGCCAGCTGGCGGATCAACTCAAGAAGGCAAGAGCCATTGAGTAAGTCTCACATATCCTGTGGATGACGAACAGATCGATTGAGGAAGGAGAACCGAACAAACCTATTGAATGAATTTATCATCCCGTTAGGTGCTGCGTATTCAGCTGAGACAATCAGTGTCATGCATCTTTACTCATGTTTATTTTGCTCATGTTCATAATGGTATCATTTGTCGGAGCTTCGTCATAATGTTTTGTGTGCGCTGCACCTCACAACAAGACAAATCTACGATAACAGCCGGTGGCATCTTTAGCAGTCAGTGACAACAGACGTAAGCAGTTTATGCTACGGTTGTGGTAAAACTGAGCTACCCATAAAGTTTAGGGTGATGCTGCTGAATACGCAGCTTACATACTCAATTGCAGTCCCACCAAGGCAAATGAAGGTGGCATCTTACCGATTGAGGTGTTAATCAGAAACGACCTGTCTTGATCTTCCCTAACCAACAGTCACATTAGTGACTGTATAGTGACTATGGGAAAGGGGGCACTTGTTGGTTTTGCTTTTATTCAAAGATGCCTCCTAACATGACGAAAGCACTGCGCGTTTCCGCTAAAGCGGCAAGAAACTCGGCTGCACATCCTCAACTAGCAGACGATCACTCGTCTGCTGTTGATCAATATCAGCCTGCAACGTCTGATGCAGGCTCACGTGACTTAATGCCACTTGAAGGTGTTAACCCAGAGCTAGAGGTTATCTACTATGGTTGTATCAGGGCATCTAGTTACACGTAAACATTAAGTATTATACTTAATGTTTGGTCTAAAAGTATCCATGATTACTTTTGACCTGTCACTTGGGTGCGATACACAAACGTGATCCACCCTCGTGAATGTGATATTTATTTATGGATTCACATGGAAAGGGATGACGCCAGTTGAAGCTAGGCATCTCGACGTCTCAGAAGGACGTCATTAGCAAGCTTAAATCTACATTTAAGCTCATGCGTCAGGATACGCTTTTAAAGATTCGCGTATACGATCTATATACATAATTAGCCAATCAGTAGTTAAGTTATATTTGATAATAATTTTTTAAAGATAGCTCAGTCATAAATCGAAAGCACCGCGCACGAGAAGCTAAATAAGCTTCTGCGTGACGTCTGTGTGGTGGAGTGGGTTTTCAAAATTGTATGATGAGACCCCAAACCACTCACTGTGCCGGACTGCCTACTCGGGGGGGTACTTCGATGCCGCGTATGGATCTTCGTCTCACCTTGTGTGCCCGTCGGCTGGCGGGTTTCACTCTTCGGAAGACTTGGGTGAGGATGTAGACGTCTGCCTTGAGGGAGGTAGACCTGGGGGGCCTCGAGTGGATATGCTTCACTCGGTGGGCCGGTAGGTGGCCACTCGATCGACCTTGTCGAGAGTGGACTTAGAGCCAAATTCTCTAGGGAGCTTATCCCTGGCCTTTTCCTTCGCGTTTCAAGGGTATTAACCACCTGACCTTTACTTTGCTCCCGGACCGTGAGGTAAGAGAGACCGCTTCCGATAGCGGGTCTTGGGGGGTGTTAAGAGCTTTCAGGCTACTCGAACGAGCTCACAGGCCAAATATATCCTGGAGCTCTATTCGCCCTTGAACTTCGCTACACAACTGTCTTCTACGGGGGGCCAAAATATATCCCTTCCCGGAACAGGTGGTAGCTTAGAGCAAGTTCTTCTTGGGTGACGGAGTCGTGCCACAAAGATCGCAAATTGAGTAGTATTTAATATAGATCTATCCTTTTAACTCCTTTACTCTATCCTTGCCTGAAGCTCTGATTCCTTGCGTCGACTGGTCTGATCCTTGTGTTAACTGGTCAGGAGTGGTTGAACGACAAGGGACCCAGGCCGACCGATGAGGGACCGGGTCTACCGACGAGGGACAGGGTCTACCGATGAGGGATCGAGGTCGACCGACGAGGGACCCAGGCTACCGATGAGGGACCGGGTCAACCAATGATGAACCGGGTCGACCAACGAGGGACTGGGTCTACCGACAAGGGACCCAGGTCGACCAACGAGGGACCGGGTCGACCAATGAGGGATCCAGGTCTATCAACGAGGGGTCGGGTCGACTGATGAGGGATAGGGTCGACCAATGAGGGACCCAGACCTACCAACGAGGGGCCGGGTCGATCAATGAAGGGCCATGGTCAGCTCCCTTCGGTACCGATTAACCAGTACCCTGATACCTATTTTTCTTCTGTGAGTCCTGCAGATTGTTCTCCGCCAACGGTCGCTTCCCCTCGAGGCCCCTGTCTTTCTGGTCTCTTTTCCCTGACCCACGGTCTATACTCCGCATCCAACTAGATTCTGGGGTCCCCATATCGCAAAAACAGCACTTCACCACAGAATCGTGGGACTTATTATACCAGAAAGTGGAGCGGCTGCTAGACGTGTGTGACTATTGGAATTTGTCGGTCAGTGCCGTCAAGAGCACGTGGGGGTGTCGGAAGGTCGATTACCTTGGACATCGGGTGTCCAAAGAGGGACTAGAGGCCCACCCAAAGGACCTTCAGTCTTTGGTCGACCTACCTCTACCGACAACACTGAAGGCTATGCAATCATTTCTTGGAAGCCTAAATTACTACAGCAGATATATCGAAGATTATGCCGTATACGCGTCGATACTCTATAAACTGAGAGAGGTGGATTTTCACGCTTGGAGGTGCAAATTGAAGGTTAACGATGAAGTAAAGGCCAAGGAAGACGAAGAAGAAAAATGGTCGAAGGTACAAGTAGCGTTTGCAATGCTCAAGAACAAGATTGCTACAGCGCCCATCCTACGACATTTCGACCCGGCTAGAGAGGCAGTTATTATTGTCTACGCAAGTAAATACTCCATCTCGGCGTCATTGATGCAGAATTACGACGGTCTGTATATGTCAGTAATGTTCACGAGCCGAACCTTCAAGTCAAACGAGTTGAACTATAGCACAGTGGAAAAGGAAGTGCTGGCGTTGTTACGAATATTGGAGACTTGCTTCACGATGTTGGTCACCCGACTTCTCAAGGTTCTGGCGAGACATTCTACATTAGACTGGCTAGTGAAGTCTTCGGGGTTGCAAGGTCGCTTGGGAAATTGGGCCGCTCTCTTGTCCCAGTGGACTTTGGAGATTGTGAAATGCAAGAAAGGCGAAGACCAGGTGCTGGGGGCGTTAGCAGCCAGCATCACGCCTCGAGAAAATGTAGACTCAATTCTGTTGTCAATTGCTACCAAGAAGCAATCCAGGCAGACGGTCGACCTACCGACGACCACAGTGGAACTAAATGAAGAACTGTATGTGATGATTTTCGATGGGTCGGCCCGGGTGAAGCAAGGGGTAGGCTCCTGCAGCGCTATTGTATGAAGACTTCCTGCATGGACTATAGTTGAAGCTGCGTCGAGATTTCTCGACAAGTCTACAGTGAATGAGGCGGAATATAAGGGCATGTTGCTGGGTTTTGACCTGTTAGAGTCGCTGGACCGACGGCGGTTTATGATTTGTGGAGATTCCAATTTGGTTATAAGATAGATGCGTGGAGAGTTCGAGGGCAAGGTTTCAGGTTTATCCCCGTTACGGGCCAAGGCGTTGAGTAAGCTCCAGTCGTGGTCCAGCGATGCAGTCTTACACGTGAATCGAGACTGGAATCAGAGCGCGAACTAGTTGGCCAGTGCGGCTTTACATCATCAGCAAGGGGCCAAATCCATACCGAAAGGAGAGTGGTCAGGTCTAGAAGGTGTTAATCCCTAAAGACTGGAGTCCGTCAGTCAAGATATCCGCGGTTACGAGGTCACGGTCCTGTGGTGGAGTTGGTTCTCAAAATTGTATGATGAGACCCCAAACCACTCACTGTGCCGGACTGCCGACTGTCGGAGGGGGTACCCCGATGCCGCGTATGAACCTTCTCTCACCTTGTGTACCCGTCGGCTGGCGGGTTCCACTCTTCGGAGGACTTGGTGAGGATGTAGATGTCTGCCTTGAGGGAGGTAGACCTGGGGGGCCTCGAGTGGATATGCTTCACTCGGTGGGCCGGTAGGTGGCCACTCGATCGACCTTGTCGAGAGTGGACTTAGAGCCGAATTCTCTAGGGATCTTATCCCTGGCCTTTTCCTTCGCGTTTCAAGGGTATTAACCACCTGACCTTTACTTTGCTCCCGGACCGTGAGGTAAGAGAGACCGCTTCCGATAGCGGGTCTTGGGGGGTGTTGCTACTCGAACGAGCTCACAGGCCAAATATATCCTGGAGCTCTATTCGCCCTTGAACTTCGCTACACAACTGTCTTCTACGGGGGGCCAAAATATATCCCTTCCCGGAACAGGTGGTAGCTTAGAGCAAGTTCTTCTTGGGTGACGGAGTCGTGCCACGTAGATCGCAAATTGAGTAGTATTTAATATAATCCTATCCTTTTAACTCCTTTACTCTATCCTTGCCTGAAGCTCTGATTCCTTGCGTCGACTGGTCTGATCCTTGTGTTAACTGGTCAGGAGTGGTTGAACGACAAGGGACCCAGGCCGACCGATGAGGGACCGGGTCTACCGACGAGGGACAGGGTCTACCGATGAGGGATCGAGGTCGACCGACGAGGGACCGGGTCGACCAACGAGGGACTGGGTCTACCGACAAGGGACCCAGGTCGACCAACGAGGGACCGGGTCGACCAATGAGGGATCCAGGTCTATCAACGAGGAACCAGGTCTACCAATGAGGGACCCAGGTCTACCAATGAGGGACCGGGTCGACCAACGAGGGACCCAGGTCGACCGATGAGGGACCCGGGTCTACCAACGAGGGGCCAGGTCGATCAATGAGCGGCCATGATCAACTCCCTTTGGTACCGGTTAACCAGTATTCTGATACTGATTTTTTCTTCGGTGGGTCCTGCGGATTGTTCTCCACCAACGGTCGCTCCCCTTTGAGGCCCCTGTCTCTCTGGTCCCCTGTCCCTGACCCACGGCCTATACTCTGAATCCAACTGGATTCTGGGACCTCCATATCACAAAATTAGCACTTCATTACAGCCGCCCCCTGCACTTGCTC